CCACGTTACCAAAAACCCCAAACCGCGTTCCCTAGTAGTGATGAATTGCTTGTGTGACGTAAACTGTAAGCGGCATTGTTTACAGCCCGGCATTGCTTTCGTCCTTCAATAAAAAAAAACCTAGTCTAAAATGTAATAGATTTACATATGCCACGCAGCAATAATCTAATTAAAACTTCATTCTTTTTAACTTCATATATCAAAGATTCTCCCAGCTTTCAACAGCATGCCACGCCCCTTTTCAGGTCCTTGCATTCTGTCACTAACCGAAGTATTAAATCTCAGTAACAAGAATTAACCCAATAGTACATTCATACATTAACAGTTCATCTCATCATGGACTTTAACCCAATAATTAAACAGACTGGTCTTTTATTCACCCGTGGTTACACCAGTCTCAAAAAAGGTGTCAGTCACGCTTTACAAATTAAAACTGAAAAGTCCTCCATTGTTTAAATTCTGGATACAATCAATACACATTTAAAATAATTAACAATCAACCAAAACTTTTTAGTAGACGAGAAAGATGCATGTTTTTTTTCCCACTGTGATATGGAAATTAATATGATAGAGTTTTTCCCTCAAACGCCCTCTATAGTTCGATTTTCGATCCCATAATCCTTTGCTAAATCCAATATGGAGGAAACACATCTCTGCCCTATAGGGCTTCTGAGGGGAAACTCATATTTTTCCATACAGCCCTGTGCTAACATCAACTGTAAACATCTTCTGTTTTCGAGCAACGTGTTCGTTTTTTTTAATTATCAGATATGTTCTTTTTCTCACCAGGGTGTGTGTATAGGTGTTGTGATATTCAGTGCACAGACAAAGTTCCAGTTCACAGCTTGCGTTGGCGTAGTTTACGTGCTGACTTTGACAATATTAATATTTGCTTTCATCGCCATATTTACGTTTTGGTGGATTAGTGATGTGCTGATTGGCCTATTGGTGGCAACCCTTCTTGTACTGGTAAGATTCGCTTTATTGACGTATACACGTTATTTACCTGGATATATTCACGCAACATGCATCGCCAACTTGAAAGAAAGGCAATCCGTGTAAATTTTACGTGCGTGTGGTAACTGATGGAAAGTAGAAGACTTCCATGAATGAAAATACACAAAAAATGCAATTTTTCTTTAACATTGTGTTCTGTGGAATTGTTCTAAAAAGAGCATTTTTTGAAAAATATTAGTCCAAATTTCTCCAAAAAACTGAAACACGTCAATCTGATGTGCTTTTTCATTGTGCCGTGGAACAATAGCTCCATGATTGTACACATTCAACGAATGAACAATTTCATGCGATTTGTGACTTAATTTTTCCGAATCGTTCCAACTAACGTGGTATTCACGATTGTATGTAGTTTTAATATATCTGCCAATCATGTTGTTTATGTTTGTTTTTAGAGAATGATATTCAATACCCAATTATTTTATAAAGAATGAAACTACAAACTACGTGCCAGTGAATGACTAGAGAATAACTATTCATGGAGTGTACACATATACAAATAACGTCCATGACTGATTTTTTTTTCTTTCAGTGGTTGGCTATCGATACACAGCTTATCTGTGGCGGAACAAGACATGACCTGACTCCCGAAGAATACATATTTGCAGTAACATCGTTATATACCGACATTATCTTCATATTTCTTATCTGTTTATCCCTGTGTGGGAGGCCGTAGTTTTCAAGGAGTAATCTTTAGTAATTCTCGCACTTTATCACTTCCACAAACCGCGACAAACGCATAATGGGTAAAATCAATCAAGTTCCAGTATCGCACAGACCATCTTTTTGTCTCATAGCGTTTGGATTTGCGGGAGATGTGGGGAATACTACATTGTAGTAATAATCAATCGTCTGGACTCGCTTTTATTTTAAAATACCGTGGGCCACGGTGATTCGGTTAATTCAAATGCGTTAGCGAAAGAAATTCTTACACTCATAATAAGCTAATACCTTCGTTAAATAGAGTTGGTCGTCGTGCCGCGCATGTGCGACATTTTTGTTGATAAACATTGATTTTCCCACAATACGCCTTTTTAATGAAATCACGAGTGCGAGATTTGACCTGGGTGTCACTTGCACTAATTACCGCCGGCGACTTGTTCGATACCTTCCAATCACCTAAAAAATACCTAATTAAAGATTTGTAACTGTTCAGCTTGTATTCGTTGGTGTGCGCAACAGTCAAAGTCGCCATCTTTGTTTAAATGAGCCCCATATATCGCGCATGCGTGGAGCGATGACCACCGTACTTTAACGTTCGGACTCACTGAAGGAATTTGAAATTTAAATATTTATAAATACGTCGCATACAAGTATCAAGACCACAATAAATATGTGTGAATGATCTTAGAGTGCAAATATAAAAGAGGGTGGTCGTCGCCCGCATCGCGTTTGATGTGTAACTATACCAGACAAACTATTAACAAAGGGCGGTGATCGCCGCGCAGTGTTATCTTCCCATCGTACGCGAAATTCGAATACTCGCTGCGTGAAGACCACAGTCCTTTTAATTTGCTGCACACGTGTACGGCAATAGTATTCATGTGATTTACCTTACCAATAGTAAATTAATTAACATATTTCGTAATATTATTCTCTCCGTTCGTGTCTCTACAGTTATCTCCTATATAATATTCGGGCAGTTGAAGTGCCCACATTTTGGTTTCGATCGTGTTTCTTTTGGCGCGAACGCCAGTGTCCATTGTGAAATAGTACATGGAATAACGCTGCATACGTTACTCGTGCGTTTGAGTGTGTCTCGAGGAGGAGGGGGTTGAATATGTTTGAACAATTCATAAATGCCATTTACTAATTTTTAATGTTATGCTTTTATATTTATTTTTGAGCTTAAAATATTACAGAACCGATGATAGTGTTAGAAACTTTTTCTAATTGTGATTCAATGAATAAAGTAACTACTGTCACTGAACAACTCGTGTTTGCAATTATTTCCTCGAACGAACACAGCACAATATTTTTATTTTGCAAAACTCATACTATACCATGGCATAGCCTCTATAGAGGAGGGGTAGGAAACATAGCAAATAACAACATAAATCAGTGTTTGCTGAATAACGTAGGTTAAACAAAAGTGCCAACATGTGTACTACTGACATAGTGGTTCTAACAACACTCTTATAATGCCGATTCTGGCATAGATTGAAAAGCAATGGTCCAAGTATGCGGGTATGCACAGCTGTTTTGACTACCCATTTTCACGGTCGAGCCAGTCTCGTTAAACCCCATTTTAAAGACAATTTTAAAGCCAAAAAGCGCTCTCAACGTAGACGTTTTGGGGTCTAGCTTTCAACTAGTCGCGAAACACTCCGGCCAAAATTCATTTGAGTACCCTCTCCCAGGCAATAGTCGCAAAATATCAATTATCCCATGTGATTCCCGATATTATAAACATAATAATTTAGAAACAAAATTGTGTTATAAGGAGAATTTTGGCAAAAAAAGAAAAAGAAAATGTAAAAGACTTACAATATTATATCTTACAAAATACATCTTATCACACAATATTAGAGCAATTATTGGATTATCTATCCCTAACCGTCTTTGTAAAACACTAAAGTGATAAACTGTACGATATTTGTGTGCAGGCGAAAGTGTGATATGTAATTTAATTCTAGTTACATGTAGATGCCACTACAAACTGCTATAAAAAGTTCACACTTCTACGCATTTAACTGTGGTTACGTGTGATATAGCAGGCTTGACATAAAATAATATATATATATATTTAGGATGAAAAAGGGAATATTTCTGCCCAAGCTCCAGCCCGCTGTTACACTGACAAATACAACACATGTTGTCAATCATGAAAACACTGATCGTTTCTCAATCAACTTGTCAAAACTTTTACTGGGATTTTACAAACTTTCCTCTGAATTTTTTTATTATATTTTTTTGCCCAAGATACATTTCTTGAGAGCTGTATGACTAGAGTAGATTCTTTGTGGTATGGGCACGTTTATCATTATTTAAGTAAAATAATTTAAAAAAAAATCAAAATTCAAAAAATATCTAACAAAAATAGTTTTCCTGACTAAATAATGATGAATTACATTTTAGCATAGTTGTGTTATTCATCCATTGATTCGTGCAGCTGCGTTCACCATTCCCTCCTATCATTTCATTTATGTATTCATTCTTTTGTACATCCATTCATTCATCTAATGTTACATTGGCCTTCAGGGCGATATGTCGTTGCATGACATTCCACATGTCAAAATCTCTGTCTATATTCCCTATCGTGTGCTTCTGGAGAAGCTCATCCACAATTAGAAAACCTCCAATGTTCCAACCCTAAAAAAACAAAAGCAACGTTACTTGTATTTGGAGCGGCAACATATAACTGGTTGATTCATTCATTTTTACGTGAGCACGAGAAGGAAAGCAGTTGAGTCGAAGCATATATACAAGGTAGAATTTGATATTGATAATAATTAAAAAATGTTAACAAGTTGCTCTCTGATTGGTCTGACTGTCAGGTGTTATGCTTAGGTAGCCAATCAGGCACAATCTTGTAAGTCCAACTTATTAAGGAACAGAATAAACATATCACACTGAAACTTGATGGGAAACTGGCCTGGACTGCAATATTAACTGCGGTTTATGGGGTTATTAATATTACGGGGATACCGAAAAGTATGCAAGAAGACGCGACATCATAAGAATGCCGACATCCAAAAAACAACAGAATCAGCGAACTTCTTTGTGTGGAGTTCGGTAAAACTAGTATTAGAGAACGCTTACGCGCGTAATCATTCTATAGAATTCGCATTTCCTAATATGGTAGGATGAAAATATCACGTAAAATACCACAAAATTACGACATGCTGTAACATATGACGTTACCGTAACAGATGTATAATAAATACATTTATTATGAAGTGTTTAAAAGACGCTGGCCGTCACGTAGCGCGTGAATGCATTTTGCTCGCGTTATGTACGGCGCAATGAGTCCCAAGTCGAACACGACACGACGAAACGACATCCACCCTTTAATCATTAAGAAAATAATATATACTGTATTTTTATCAATGACAAGATTCGTCTTAGAAATACATCCATGGCAGTATTCCTCTGAGTGTAATATTTTCAGTGCAGTGTTGACGTCATTGAAAAGCTGTTGAACGTCTTCCGCGTTCATAATTTCCCAGTACTTGAACTGGTACAGCTTCTTTACTTCTGAAATATGACTACATTTCTGCAGATGAGGGCTCCACATGAGCCTCGTGGTCGCTATAGAGCTTCGCAACGTCTTCTTGACAGCTGAACCTAATATAAATTTGAAGAAATTACGTCATTCCCAGGCAATATTCAGTGCAAGACAAATACTATAACACAGTATATAGCGACTGAGTAATACGGTTTGTAATTACAGTTACAACAAATTTGTAATCTCGTAATTTCAAATAGAGTGAACACCCTACTTCACATGTGACGTCCGACGCAATCCAAGTCACAGTCAAATAGTTTATTTTAGAACGCATGCACTATGTTTAGGCATAGACCCTCTAGAGGGTCTATGGTTTAGGGCATAACTATTTGTTTATGTGTTTTCTGTCAAATATGTCTTCGATGTAAATGTCCGCCGGAATTACGCTGAGGGCGAGAAAGTCACGACACATGTTTTTGCCCTCTTGTCATAACACCCACTGCTCAAAATACCATGGTTACGTATGCCAAGGTAGCAGTGGACGCGAAAACAAGAGAGAACTTGAATGGAACACTATTAGAGGGACAAAACAAGTCTCGTGGTTCTCTCGCTTTCAACGAGATCTCGACGGCCATTTTCGTCATTGGTCTTTTCTGACAAGGACAAAACTATTTTATAATTAAACATAGAAGCCCGTATGCTCGTTCAAAACTGGTTCATGACGCACACGACCGACGTCTCGGGCATGGAAAAAAAGATACCACATGATATTAAAACCGGTTACACACCTACTCTCCGCCTTTTTCTTTTAGCTATGAACGCCGATATGATGTTGTCTTCTGCAATCATGCTGAATTCGCGAGTAGATATTGAATGAAATATCGGATTCACCACAGAGCTAATTGGTAGCACAAAAACCGTCACCCACATATACACTAAGGGGGGAATAGAAACACCCGCTAAGTCTGCAAAGCTAAGCACTGCAACCGGGAACCAACAGCACACATTGGTAGAAACCAGTATGATAGACTTGAAGAGAAGAGTTGCAGATCCTTTTCCCCTTCTACCGGAACAGGCATTTTTACTGCTTCTACTCGCCGATATCACTATTATACTATAGCACACTATTATCATTATTACGCAGATACAATTAACGCTAACGAAGAAGAACAAAGAATACACCCATCCTGGTGTGTAGTCATGACGCAGCTGATACGGTGAGCATACACTGTTCTGTCCGTAAAACAATGTTCCAAAATATGGCATTCCAAACGCCGGAATAGCAGCGATAATACTCGTCCCCACGACTAACGCAAAGCTCAGCACACACGCTCTCATCCTGCCGAGACGTATTCTCTTATACGGGAATGCTACTACTAGACATCTCATCAAGGTCATCATTGTGAGCACGTACAGAGATGACTGCGAGGACACGGCAGCCATGATTCCAAGAACCTTACATAGAGCGCTGCGTCTCCATAACAAATCATACACGAAGTAAGATTCGGCAAAGTATGCATCAATAACTGCAATCAAGAGAAGGTATATTCCACCGAGTTGATCGGCAAATGCTATCCCCAAAATCAGAAAAGAGTCGCCCGTGAGCATCACAGTACTATGCCTTTTCTTAATTGAAGTTACCCGCCACCTGACGACGACAGCGTTCAACACAACAGATACTGCGCCAAGAATCCAAACAACAACTTGTACGGAAGTAGATCGTAACATCCGGTCACAAGATGTTGTCATATCCGGTTCCGGTAGACATTCCTTAATTGGTGCACTTGCAGTGGCAACGCAACACAACACGTATTCATCACTCCACCTGTAAATGAGAGGCAAAATAATTTCGTATATGAACACACATTCTTGGAACTAGTAGTCCCAGGAATGATATGAGTATGCAACACTAACAATACAATGGAATTGACAACTGCTCGTTTGCTAATTGATAATAATCAAGGTTTAACTTTCTTGCATTTCATTTGCAATCATAAAATCAAGCGAAATGCCCCTGGGTATTCTGTGTTATATTACATTGTTGTTATACTCACAGCACGAGGAGATGTGATAAATGACTGAAAACATTATCCTGAAACTGTACTATGTTGTTTAACTGCAAATCTCTGATATAAGTATAGGCATAATAAAGAAAAAAAACACACAATGTGATCTCTATATGTCGCATATATTCAATAATTTATTTTGGATAAACATATTATAATGAGCATACTGACAGCAAAGACTGAATCAGTTCCATTTTTATTTAATCTCTTTATGAATGAAACGTGTTCATAATACATAACATGTAATTATCGATGGTTCTGCATCGTTTTAATGCCCATATTGTGAACATTAAAGAGGGGGAATCGTCACCTGCGCATGCGGCCAACGGCCAAAACGTGTCGTTGTTTACTAACAAGCGTCTACCCATGAGCCTTTGCGTTTTAGCATGCGTTGTTATCGTCGCTTAAAACTCAATTGCCGCGCATGCGCATGTGACGACCCCTCCGCTTTAATATGTCATTCCCTTCATGTATATACAGATCATGTATATTGCAATAGCATACTTTACTTACAAGAATTTAAGGGCTTTTAAT